TATTTATTTAATAAAAACCAAAACCGACCGAATTCATTGATAAAATTTGGTAACCGAACCAATTAACTTATAACAATTTCTGTTCGGTTTCGGTTTGCAAAATTAAAACCGAATTTTTTCGGTTAATTCAAAATCGGTTTCGGTTCGGTTTGAACCGAAACCGATTTTGCCCACCCCTAATCATACCAATTTGAAAAGGTCACAATAACTTAGCCCCACTTTTTCCTATTACATGACAGAATAACTGTACTCTTTGTGGGACAAAATAATTGTACTCAACATTGAACATATACCCCACTTATCGAAGAAATATCCGAGTCCACCTAACGAAGAAAAAGAGGGCCTAGTCCAGTCCAATAAACAAGCGGCAATTGCATGAATAGTTTCAAAAGCGCTATTAATTTTTAAATTAAGAAATTTATATGTTTTATTATATAAGAAATAATCAATAAAAATTAATTTTATAATTTTACTATCAAGTTTAAACCTTTTCATGATTAAATCTAAAACATATGCAATGCAATCCCAAACTTTAAAATAATCAATGTTTAATTTTTTACCATATAATAATTCATATGGTGTCATATCCTTAAATTTATGCAAAATTTTATTGAAAATATAACATGTTATAAGTAATGCCTCATCCCAAAAACTAAATGATAAATTAAAATGAATTGACATGACAAATTAAGTGCAACTAGACAAATTATCAAAGAAAGAAAAAGAAATTGAACCAGTTCATGAGATTGGAAAGTTGCACATTAACTAAACCGTCTATAAAGTCCGTTGTAAAAATTAAAATATTTGAATTTATTTTATTATAATATATAAAAATACATTATAATTTTTTATTAATAAAAAAAAAAAAACCCTTCATCCTAACCTCGTGATAAAGAATATCTTCAGAAGCGTGCCACAGAAAATTGTCGTCTCTAATCTAGGATCCATAAAAAAATAAAAAAATAAAAAAGAAAGAAAAGTCGAATAAACAAGAAGCTAGCATCACCGTCACTTGTAAATGCAGACTCATAAACTGCACTTCAACACCATCACCTCTGCATCTACCTTTTTTCTTTTTTTGAACTGCCCACCTCTGCTTCGACTACTGAGACCAATATGGAAATTCCTTACATTGCAGCATGGCTTGTAACTCTAGCCCTCATCCTCCTCTCCCTCCACCTCCGTCGTCACAAACTCAACCTG